TAGCAGCAGACGGAGCCTTGGTTTAATATCTCACCCAAAGGACGGCACCTCTGACAATACAGCACTCCACAGCATTGTATTGGAGTGTCAACTGAGAGTATAATCCATACCATGTATTTGACACTTGATAGTGTATGTTCTTGGTACTGGTACTGAATGAAAAACTGGGAAATTGCTTAATTCCTGAACACAGAATACTCTTTTATCTTGATGATCACAACATTTTTCTATTATCATATAAACAAGAAAGATGTTCTTAATAAACACTGTGGTAATGTGATTCCAGTCAGCACATAATAGCTTCTCTGCTGCAAACCTTGCTGAGAGTGTACATTTTATTTCAAACAATCAACTGTTAATTATTTTTTCTGGTTTCTGAAGAGATAGTTTCTAAAGCATTTAAGATGAATTCTATTGCTTATTTACAAATTGCAAAGAGTTACGCTTTACAAGTCAAATTTCAAACTGTTGTTTGATAATATTTTCCTTTCAGAAATATATTCTCATGGAGAGAGCATTACAACAACAGTTTACATTTATGCAGAGTCTTGTCATACATTTATAATAATAATAATCCTTGCATTTGATATAGCACTTTTCACGTCGGGAGGACGTCCCAAAGCGCTTCACAGAATACACTGTAAAGTGAATTGACTGTATATTTGTGGGTGAACGCGGCAGCCAATGGTGCACAGCAATGTCCCACAAACAGTCGTAGATTGAAAATGACCAATTTTTATTATTGTTTTTGGTTTTTGGAGGGATTATTATTAGGCGTGTGGAGTAAGGAAACTTGCCCAAGGTTTCGCCCTGCCTGGAATTGAACTCAGGTCTCTCACTTGCAAAGCGAGTGCTCTAACCACTGAGCTACAGGACTCCATTTCATCTGGGGGTTGGGGGTGGAGGGTGGAGGTTGTGCAGTGGTAGGGGTGTTAGGTAACAAAATGCAGTTGGAGGACTCACACAATACTGTATTGGAGTTCCAGGCAACACTGCGTGTTCAAAGTCCTTATGTGGGGCTTGAACTCACAACCATCGGACACGAGAGTGCTATCAACATAGCCAGTCTGACACCAATGTTTACTTATGTACAAAGTTTGAATTATATTAAGAACCTTGGGCAAGTTTCCTTACTCCACACAGAGCCTAATAATAATCCCTCCAAAACAAAAAAACAATAATAAATTGGTCATTTTCAATCTACGACTGTTTGTGGACATTGCTGTGCGCAATTGGCTGCCGCGTTCGCCCACAAATATACAGTCAATTCACTTTACAGTATATTTTGTGAAGCACTTTGGGACATCTGGAAGACGTGAAACGTGCTATATCAAATGCAAGGATTATTATTATTACTATTAACCTTCACCGTTCATCTATTGTTTTGAGTGGTTTGAAACTTTTTTATCTGTCACAGAATTAATAAAATGGATTTATCTGTTCATTTATTGTTTTCAGTAAGAGCTAAATATTAACCAAATCAGGTATGTTCAGAACTACTCTGAGTAGCCTTAACCCTCAGAAATCAGAATAAAAACCTCGAGTAAAATGGGAAAAAACAGATCAATTTAACTGGTCAAATCCTTTTTAAACCCTCCTGAGAAGAAACAAGAAGAAACATTTAAAGGAAAATATTTACTGCCAGTTCAAATCCAGAGCTAATATGGATAACAAAGGCAACAATTTGTGAGTGGGATGTAAAGAGGCAACAATGTAGTATTTTGGAAACAACAACAGCAACAACTTGAATTTATATAGCAACTTCCACGCAGGACGGCATCTCAGAGCGCAAACAGAAAGTGTTGCTGCTTAGCGGTTATTTTTTTTGGTCAGAAGGGTGTTTGATATTTCATGCTGAGCTGTGCTAAAGCATCAGCATCAAAATATTTAAGAGGGAACTTGCTGCATACATGAGAGAGAAGGGAATAGAGAGATATAGGAGAGGGGATTAGGAAGGGTGGAGGCTCACGTGGAGTAAAAACATTAATTGGGCCAAATGTCCTGTTTCATGCTGTATCACTCTATATAATTCTATGTAATAAAATAATAATAATCCTTGCATTTGATATAGCGCTTTTCACATCTTCTAGACGTCTCAAAGCGCTTCACAGAATATACTGTAAAGTGAATTGACTGTATATTTGTGGGCGTAATGCGGCAGCCAATGACCGGTATGTATTATTGTTTTTGCTTTTTGGAGGGATTATTATGTAAACACTATGTAAAAGTCAAACCATTGAAACATCTCAGCAGGAACCAGCAGCAGACCACATACTGTAGACTGGAATCCAAGTGCTAGAGGGTATTATATCCTATTCAATGAGCTCTTTAAGCTTGGCACTATTAGTTTACATTGACACATTTTACATCATTTTGGTTCTGCTACATATCTTTGTTTTTTATTGTGTAGAATTCCTGTTCTATTTCACACCCAATTAAATAATTAAGGTGTGCTTCAATTTACTATGTTCCGCACTGCTAGAACTGTACAATATACATATTTAAGTATTTTGTTCCCGTGTTTGCCCTTTGGTTCAATGCAATTTGAAGGATAGCACCAACAGATCGCTATAAAGCCAATAGCTTACTAAGTATGTCAGCAATAATGTTGCAAGGGTGGTGGTGTGGGGGTGGTGGGATGGTGGGCTGCTATCTCTGTGTGCTCGGATAGCTCATGTCAATGTTCACAAGGAATTTTGCCATTATATTCCCCACAACTACATTATTATGACACCAGCTGTCAGGCTTTCAGCCTATCTGCCTATCTGCTCCATCCCTTAGACCTTCCAATTTGCTTCTTTCCTCACCATTTTCAAGGTCCATGACCTTCTGTTTTAACTGTGCTTTTGGTCATCTTTCCCCTCCCACCCCCTTTGGCTCTCAGCCCCACTTCGGGTGCCAAGTTGTCAACCACCTTGGCATGTCCTCCCGACGTGCTATATAAATGTAAATTTATATTGTATTCATTTTCTAATCTGAAACGGTTAATTTGTGTTTATTGTAATTGGTAACAAAATTGCATATCTTACACTTACTGCATATGCATATGGAGTGCTCGTGTTTAAATTTGTTAGCATTTCATACAACATTTAAAAAAAAGATGTTTCACTCCTATTTTCAAGAGCAAGAAGAAGGTGAATATCGAAACCAGAAAATATAATTATAATACAGCATCAAACAGATTTTCTTTTACTAGAAATGTTTTTTATTGACAATATTTACAATGAGTGTTATATAAGTTATAAATAACAAATTTCAATGAAAAAGTCCACAGGAAGATTTTGTTGCATAGGAATCCTTGGTAACAGGATATTTCAGAAGTTTTAGTTATCAAAAACAAATTCAACTATTTTACAATATGAAAAAAAAACATTTCTTAGAGACTATCCTCAGGAGGAGGGTGGGGGCTTGAGCTGAATTGGCTCCAAGGTGATATGTTTGGCAACAGAATGTTGGAATCAAACCCACCCCTGCAGTGGTGTCAGTAGTCCAGTTTCAGAGCCAAGCGTGTCTGCAGTATTCCAGGGCACTGCTGAATACAGCACAGCCAGGATGGGACATTGGTAGGATTTGGAATGGCAAACCAGTCAGGAGGGGCAGGGACCCTTCCCTTCCCACTCAGCTCCCATTAACTCTGCAAGCAAAAGCCCTAAAGAGAAGGGTAGTCCTAGCTGGACAAGCAGCGGGAAAACTTGCTACGCAGTGCCTCAATGGAAAGCAATTCAGTTTTAGCTGATTGGACTCCAGCAGTACCCCAACACACTCTGGGTTCCCCGAACTCTTGACAAACTGCGCCTAATACTTTCTGGAAATAATTAAGCAGATCGCCTCCCTCCAGGGAGAGAGTGTGCATTCCATTCCAATATAGATCCCTGGAATTTCCATGGGATGCCTGTCATTTTTAGTTTGGTTTGAATACTCTTAAGGATGGTGCTGGGTTTCTGTATGTAAAAACTGAAAACACAATACCGATTGAACATGGATTTATCTGGACGTATTCGGGGGATGGTGGGTGGGTGGGCACTTCTTGACTGCTCGCGGGCTCCACTGCTTTATAGTAATTCCTGTGGGGTGCCTTGAGATACCTCAGATCCCACTTAAACAGGGACCAATTTTTATTTGGAGATTTGTTGGCCAGAACACTGGGATGAATTCCCTTCTTTTTTCGATTAGTGCCGCGGGATATCTTGAACATCCACCTGGACCGGCAGGCAGGAATCCAGCGCTTCGGGGCGTCCCGCCGACGCGAAGGGCGCCGCGCAAATGCGATTTGTCGTCGATAACACAGCCCCAACGTGGGGCTCGGCTTTTGCACCCAAAACCCTTGTGACTCCGAGAGGTGAGAGCGGTACCCAGCAAAGCCAGCATTATTATTATTATTATATTATTATTATCCTTATTATTATTATCCTTATTATATTATTATTCGTGGAGTCCTGTAGCTCAGTGGTTAGAGCACTCGCTTTGCAAGTGAGAGACCTGAGTTCAATTCCAGGCAGAGGGCGAAGCCTTGGGCAAGTTTCCTTACTCCACACGCCTAATAATAATCCCTCCAAAACCAAAACAATAATAAATTGGTCATTTTCAATCTACGACTGTTTGTGGGACATTGCTGTGCGCAATTGGCTGCCGCGTTCGCCCACAAACATACAGTCAATTCACTTTGCAGTGTGTTCTGTGAAGCGCTTTGGGACGTCCTCCCGACGTGAAAAGCACTATATCAAATGCAAGGATTATTATTATTATTATTATTATTGCTGCTGGGGGTGGGGGGGGGGGCCTTGTGCCAGTCCAGCTGAGATTGCAGCAGCTGATTGAAACGTCCCCCCCCCACCTGTCAATCAGAGTCCGGAGAGGGGAACTCTGGGACCTGTGGTCTCCTGCCCGCTTTGCTCTGCTCTCTTCCTCGCCAGAGAGGGGGGGGGGGGGAGAACTACACATCCCGGAGTGCAGCGCGGCGGAGCGCAGGGTTTGATTGGAGGGGAGGCGGGGGCGGGGCCGGGGCTGGGAGAATGGCGGCGGCGGCTCCGAGGTTCCATCGGCTGCACCTGGTGACAATGGGCGCGGCGCTGCTGCTGCTGCTGCTCGCGCTGTGCCTGCAGGCGGGGGCCGGGCAGCGGAAGAAGGAGGTAAATACACCATATGTCAGAGCTCGGCTCTGGGGCAGCACATTTTATTTTTTATTTTTATTTTTTTTTTGGGGGGGGGCGGTGGGGCTGAGGGTTTTTTTTTTGTTTGTTCAATGCAACAGTTACCTTCGTATTCGTAGAGAGGCTGTTCTTGGGTCTCGGGCGGTGCTGATGCTGCTGAGAGGGATGGAGGGTTGGCAGGATGGGGCCCAGCCAGGGGAGCCCAGCTCATCATCATCATCATCATCATCATCATGATGATGATAATAATGTTAATAATCCTTGCATTTGATATAGTGCCTTATCGCGTCTTTGCGCTAAGGACAAAGGCAATGAGGGGTCACGTTACTGCCTTCACCTTTGGCCCTTATGCCTTTTCTTTTTAAAAAAAAAGGTAAAACGCGGGGTTCGCCTGTTCAAGTGGAATTTTGCAACCCACCAGGACTGCAGGGCCACTTTTGCCAGTTGGTCAACGTGGGGTCAGCGCTGCAAATACGATAATAATCCTCGCACTTGACCTTGTGCCTTATCGCTTTGCGAAGATATCGCAAAGCACTTTCCAGTGTTTTAATGTAAAGTGCGGTGACCATATTTGTAGATCAACACAGTAGCCAATTTGTGCGCAGCAATGCCCCACAAACAGCTATGAAGTGAGTGTACAATTTTTTGGGGGGTGGAGAATGCACCATTCAGTGGAATCATTCCCGAAAAGTGACTGGGGTGGGGGGTGGGGGGGGGGGGGGGGTGCGTGGGTGGGCATTGGTGAGTTGAGTTATAATAATACTTGCATTTGATATAGCGCCTTAGCAATTGTTGAGTGGTCTCAAAGTGCTTCACAGATTATATTGTATTGAACTCATGTTGAATAATTGTAGGTTGGGTTAAGAATGTGTAAATATGTATACAGAGGGAATTAGAGGTACATTAATACAAAGTGATCAAAGGTAATAATGTAATCCTATGCATTGACCACAGATGCCCTTACATATATAATTAATTCTCTTTGGACATGTATGTTTACACACTGTGAACAGAATCCACAAATTTTGAACATGGAGTTGATTCTACAAATAAATTTGATTATTTCCCCATTGTACAGAATTATTGTAATATGAAATGTGTAATATATTGTAATACTTGTTAATAAGTATATTTTAATTTTTTTGTTTGCATATTTTTTCTTTCAATTTTTTACATATCAAATAAAAAATATATAAAAAAATAATCCTTGGATTTGATATTGCGCCTTTTATTTCAGGGGAACGTCTCAAAGCGTTTGACAGAATTTCCTTCAACGTGTAGTGACTATTTTGTAGGCGTATGTCTTTAAAGGAGTTTTGATGACTATAAATTATGAACAGGATCCTCTGCACAAAATTAGCCAATGTTATGTTTTATTCAATGTAAATCAATTTTCCAAAATTTGTTTATTATGGAATTTTTTGCTTAAATTGAGAAAAATGCAGTCATTTCAGATATGTAACAGTACAGATTCCATCCAATTCTGTAAATCGATTTGTATCCTAACATTCTTTAAAACAGTATTTAATCAAAATCAAGAATAAAAGAGATTAAATCATACTTTATTGTTTCAGATTCACAATAGGTAAAGTTAATTACACTTATATAACTTGACATTTATTACTAACATTTGGGAAATTAATTCAAAACAATGGGTGGTTGTTTTTTTCCAAAAGGAATTTAGAATACAGCAAAACATTGCAGTTTCCAAATATTGCCATGTTGGTTTCATTAGGTTTTGTAATATTAGTGCTGTCAATTGCTATGTGACCTTCCACAGTATCTCTAAAGTTGGTGGATGTTGGAAGTAGCTGTTTGTGTTTGGTGAACTTTGATAAATGTTTTGATGTTCCTTGCAACATCAGCAATTCAATTAGGTTTAATTAAATTATTTTGTTGCTCATAATGACATATATGATAGCATACGTTTACTAACATTTGAAATTAATTAAAAACATTGCAACCTTGTTTCCCCCAAAGGATTTCTGAGTGCAAAAAGTTGCTCCATTCTGATACTTAATACACAACACTTCGAGTGCGTGTGGTATTGTTTCTGTGTTTGCTTACTATGTGAGAATTCAAATGCTCCAGCCTAAAGCATCCCATTTTATATCACAATGACACATTTGAAACTGGTACATTTTCCAAAAAAGGGTCCTTTGAACTTTTTTGGTCAACTTTTTCTAAGAAGAACCAAAATCTTTTATCGCGAGTCTCCGATTACAGCTGCAAAAAAAGTCGCAAATACTGTACCTAACTGTTTGTTGTGAAGTGTGGAATCTCTTCTCAACATACACCTACATATGTTTTTATGTACATATACAATTCATAAATTGCCTGGGAAATTTCTTTGGGGTTATTGCTGAAATTGAAACATGTCAAACTGTACAATGTGGAAGTATGAAGCTTCCCACTACTCGTCCAGCTAGGACAACACTTAGAATGTCAATTTTCATCCTTGGTGACTTGTCTCTTTTCCCTCTTTGCTCCCTGTCCATTTCTGAGTTAGGAAGAGCTTGTTGATCATCAGCAGTGCCCTGAAGTATTGTGGACCTGCAGAGCTCGAGTGCTGGATTAATTCTTCCACCATATGTAGAAAGGAGTAGGCCATTCAAATCATCAAGTCTATTCAACAAATTTATTAGATTGTGTCATCTTTTTTAATCGCATTTCTCTGCCTATTCTAACTATCTTCTCAAGCGCTCTGGGACACTACCCTGCGTGAGGTGTGATATATAAATGCAAGTTGTTGTTATCCTTGATACCTCGAATTCCGAGTGTATCTCCTTTTTAAGCATCCCAAATGATTCAAAATGTTCTGTATCAGTCCATTGTATATTTTCATAATGCTTGGGGAAGAGATGTTTTCACTATTATTTTTTAAAATGATGTCACCTTGTTTTGAATCACTCTACCAAAGGTAAACAGAGGACAGATATTAAAATAGATAAAATAAATAAAATAGACAACTATTTTGATTATTTTGAATTCCCCAATTAGATCATCAATTTGCTTCTTCAGCTTTAGGGTACTTAACTCAGATTTTCCCATCAAGTATTCCCTTCACTTTAGGCATTCATCTCGTTGATAATAATAATAATAACAATAATCATTGCATTTGGAACAGCACCTTGTGTCAGAAGGATGTCTAAAAGCACTTCACAGGGTTTACTTTGAAATGAAGTGAATGTATTTGTAGGCAAAAGTAGCAGTACAATTGCACACAGCAATGTCCTACAAACAGCCATGAAACGAGTGACTTTTTTTTATTTGGGGTATTATTGGTCGGGACACCAGGAGAAACTCCCTTCTCTTTTTGAATAGTACCACGGGATCTTTAACTTCCAAGTGAACAGGCAACTCGGTTTAATGTCTCATCTGACCGACAAATCTTTGTTGACTCGGGTCTGCTCCCTCTATGGTGTGCCATCATACAACAAAAGTATGACCCCCCACCACCCCCAGGATTTGAACTTGAACCTCTCCTCCCTCTCTGATCTGCTGACTCCCTACCAACCTGCCCACTCTCTCTGTTCATCAGGCTCCGGGCTGCTCCATGTCTCCCGCCCGACCCGCCCTACCATCGGTGGACGGGCTTTCAGCCTCTCTGCCCCCACACTCTGGAACTCCATCCCACGGTCCCTTTGCCTCGCTTCCTCCATTGCCTCCTTCAAGGCCGGTCTCAAGACCCTCCTCTTCAATCGTGTTTTTGGTCTCCCTCCCACCTCTCTGCCTTCCCTCACCCCTACCCCACCCCTCCCCCATGCTCGGGCCCCGACACCTGACTGTTCAGCGCTTTGGGACGACCTCCTGATGTGAAAGATGATCTATAAATGTAATTTTGTTGTTGTTGTTGAGGGCTTTGTAGGTGAGGATCAGGATCTTGAACTGGATCCTCTGAAGAATAGGGAGCCAATGGAGTTGGGGGAGATGGGGTCACGGAGTTTGGTGCGGGAGAGGACACGGGCTGCAGAGTTCTGGATTATCTACAGCCTGTGGAGGGAGGAGTTGGGAAGGCCGACAAGCAGGGTGTTTGCATAGTCGAGCCTATATCAAATGCAAGGATTATTATTATTACATGTAAATGATTACTGACTAATCATCTCCGAGATTGAAGATTGAGAAACAGTATAATTGGTCCTGATGGGAACTTTGGTTTGTGAAGAAAGTGAAGAGAGTCAGATGCAAACAATATCACACAAACGTTTTTTCCGCATGATGTAGGGGCTGTTTTGTGGTAATTTCAAGTAGGAAAATGTGTGCAAGTTTAATACTGATTTCACTGCATACATTTGGAGTCAGTGCAGCCTTAGGTTGCATTTTCCATTTGTGAATGTTTTCTATACTTCATCGTGAACTATCAAAAAAGAAAATACATCAATATAAACGGTGAAAGTAATGAAACAATTCTGTCTGTGGAAAAGTAATTCTACAGCAGGCTTAGATGGCTATGATTTTTTTATTATCATTTATTTTGCTTGTTTGCTGTTAACCTGGATAATCTTTTTAATATTGCTGAAGCTGGGAAAATAAATTGGAATTGTAGACTACTTTTCGTGCTTTTACAATTCGCAAATTGGAAATATCTTTTTTATATAAAAGCATGGCTTTGTAAATTGGAGATGTTATTGAGTAATGAAACACATACAACTTTTGTTTTACAGCACTAGAATACCTCAAGGCTCTTTAATTAATGTCAAGTGCAGTGACTTTTTTGTGAGCGCACACAGTTGGTATGATATAGCTTCATCATGTGGAGCATTCACAATGAAGATATTTGCATAGCAACGATGAATCAGACTTGAACTGCATCAGAGAACTATTGATTGCTAAATAACCCAAACAAATCAATATATGCTTATTATTTCATGAGCTTTAGTTTATGAAAACAATGGATTTTCATGCTGGCTGAGAACTGTCTGAGAATAGTGAACTGCATTTGCTGCTGTTTTTAATGTGTTATTTATTTCCCCTGCTCA